AGCTAAAAAACTTGGCTGTAACACAGAGCTAAAAAACTTGGCTGTAACACTGAGCTGTCTCACTTTCCTCCAACAGCATAACTATAGCACAATATCACAACCAAGAAATTAGCACTGATATAATCCATTAAATTTATTCAGAATTCTTCAACTTTACATGCACTTGTGTGCTTTTTTGTTTTGTTTTGTTTTTTTACCTTATAGAGGATTGAAGCCAGGGCCTTCACACTGAGCTACATCCTCAGCCCTTTTTTATTTTTTATTTTGAAAGAAGATCTCTCTAAATTGCTAAATTGCCCATGCTGGGTCCTAATTTAGGATCCTTCTGCCTCAGTCCTAGAGTGCTGGGATTACAGGCATGTAACACCACACTCAGCTCATACTATGCTTTTGTAGCTATGGCCACTTCTATCCTCTTAGTCTCTGCCATCTACCAATCTGTTCGCTAGCTCCACAGCTTTGTCATTTCAAGATTGCCATACATCCAGAAACTTACTGGGTGGCTTTTTAAATTTAGCATAATTTCCCTTGAGATTCATCTATGCTGTGTGACTTAATGGTGTATTCCTATTTATTGCTGAGTAGTATTCTGTGTATGGATGTACCAAGTTTGTCTAACCATTTACCCACTAAACTACATGTGAGCTATTTACTGTTTTGGGTTGTTACAAATAAAGCCTAAATGAGAATTTGTATACAGGTGTTTGTGGGAATACAAATTTTCATTTATCTAGGAAATTTGCCTAGGAATGTAATTGTCAGGCTGCATCATAACCTAGTTACTAGTTTTATAAAAATCTGCCATACTGTTTTTGAGTGGCTGTATCATTTTACATTCCCAAAATCAGTATATGAATGATCTCTATTTCTCTGCATCTTTCAGAAACATTCTGTGTATCACTATATTTTGTTTTAGGCATCCTGATGTTCTCTTCTCCTGAGAACTTAAGCAGGTTTTCAATAGGGTGGCCTAGAGCTGATGTCAGCCTAAGGTGTAGGATCCCAGCCCCACCTCAGGACCGTTATGTAGAAGTTCTTGAGGGTTTCCTGGAGATTTGGATGGCATAAAAGGACACAGATACCATACGACCTCCCTATTGTGGCTTTCTTCATGATAGCCCACCCTGTGTCCTCCAGGGTGTACTTTTATTTTGCTTTTTCCTCTTTTACTCTGCCCAAGCTTGCTCCACAGAGCCAGTTTCTCCCTCATTCTTCACTTTTACTTTCTCAAATAAACTTTGTTACCATTTTTTGCTCCTTTTGTTCAATTCTTTGTTCAAGACAAGAAGAACATGGAATCCAACACCAGGAGACATGAGCACCACAAAACTAATAACATTTATTTGGTAAGCCACTTTTAGAAGGAAACTACTGGTAATTCCACTACTGGTAATTCCACAGTGCTGGGATTGTAGGCGTGCACTATACCATGCCCATCTTTTCCTGGTTCTCGAATAAGTTTTTTACTGCATTATATTTTTTTACCAAACATTTTGGATAGCATGAGACTCTGGATCCTATTTAACCTCCCTCTTCTGCTCCTCCTTCTTCTTCATTTCTCTCTGTTTCTGAAGCAGTGCCCTGGTAGGCCACATAACACCATTTTGGCAAAACTGGAGGACTCACATGCCCTTGTTGCAAATACTGGGTGGAAATACTTGCTTTACTGGCAAGATCCCAGGGGAAATAGGGCTCCAACTTCTACTACCTTGTTGCTTCTTGTTATGGTTTATATCTCCATGTCTTCCTGTTATCAAGTAGCTTGCTTCTAAAAAGTGGCTTGCCAACTAAACATTACCAGATTTGGGGTTTCTTGCTTCTCCTTCTGGAATTGGATTCTAAGTTCTTCTCATTTTGTACAAAGAATTGAACAAAATGAGCAAAAAGCAGTGGCAAAGTTTATTTGAGAAAGTAAAAGTGAAAAGTATGATAGAATCTGGCCCTGCAGAGTGAGCTTAGGCTGTGTAAATAGAAAAAGAGGGTAACAGCAAAGATAAAAGTACATGCTGCATCTGGGAAACACAGTATGGGCCATTATGGAAAGCTACAATAACAAAGTTGTCATGGCATCCATGTCTCCTTTTATGCTGTCTAAATCTTTTTTTAAAATAAAATTTATTTTATTTTATCCCATCCCCCCTCAAGTCCCCTCCCCTCCTGATGTACAAAAGCTTTGTTTCCATTTTCCATCTTCTATTTTCACTTTTTTTCTTGTCCCTCCTTTCTCCCTCCCTCCTCCCTTGTTCTCCTTCCCATTTGAACACTTTCTTCCCATTTCTCAACATCCATTATACATTTCAGTCCTTATTTCCACTTTTGGTTTCTCAGAACAGACGAGATCGGGCGCGTTCAGGGTGGTATGGCCATAGACCTGGTTTCTCAGAACAGAGAAACAATGTGGTATTTAAACAGGTGTGTCTGATTTATTTCACTTAAGAGTATGGTCTCAAGGTCCATTCATTTAGCTATAAATGTCTGAAGCTCATCCTTCTTTATGGCAGAGTAGCACTCCATTGTATAAAAACCCCACATCTTCTTTATCTACTTGTTAGTTGATGGGCATTTGGAGTGTTCCCAAGATTTAGCTATTATAAACTGTGCTGCTATAAACATGGGTGTGCATATATTGCTGTGGTATGATGGTTTTAATTTTTTGGGGAAAATACCAAGAAGAGGAATAGCTGGGTCAAATGGAACCTCTAGTTTTAGTTTTTTGAGAAATCTCCACACTGATTTCTACTATGCTGTCTAAATCTTGAGGAAACCCACAAGAACTTCTACATACAGATCCTGAGACGTGGTGCTTGGATCCCATGCCTTAGGTTGACATCAGGTCTAGGCCATCCTATTGAAAGCCTACTCGAGTTCTCATGAGAAGTCCACATGCAGGGCTTTGGGAACTGTTCGGTGCACGTGTTCCAGGATCTTGTAGTCAACAGGTCATGCCTACTTCTCCAGCCAGCTTTTGCCACACCCTAATCTCCTACCTCACTCCCAAAGCCTCATCCACTCATAGGCAGGGCTTTTGAAGGGTGGCTGGCTTATGAGGGTGTTACAGGTGATTTGGTGTTAAAAGGTGAGGTCTGGTCAGAAAAGCCAGGTCAGTGGGGAAGTGATCTGGAAGGATATATCTTCCTTCTCAGCTCCTTTCTTGATCTCTCCTCCCTGCTGTCATGTGTGTCATGCTCTGGTAGAAAATTTGTCTATATTTTGCTCATGTCCTAAGACGTTGGAGGAAACAGAGTAAGGACAGTGTATTAATTAATGTTGAGAAGGAAATTTCAAGGTAGCCCAACATTCAGGCTGTGGCATGGATACTGTTGGAGGCTTTTAGTTAGCTCTACATTGAGAATGAAGAGCAAACTGCACAGCTGAGAAATTTAAACAGTTTTGAGTTTCAACAAAAAGGAAGCTCTTGTAAAGTTGTAGCAGAGGAGAGCTTGGATGTTGAAAACATTAGTACTAAAAAGTAGCTAGGTACTTTACACTGGGACAATACAAAGGATTCCTTGAGGGGATAAGAGGAATCTAAAAGACTCTACCCTTTAAGGATTAAAAGGTGGAAAAGTAAAAGACTTTTCTCTGAGAAGAGAGCCTTGTGGCAGGCACTCTGCTCAAGAAAGGCTGCCTAGGAAACTTGCTTCTTGGGATTCTACTCAGAGTGCTCAGCCACCCAGGAACACATAGGCCTCTGCAGCTGTGATGGAAAAGGGCCTGGCTACTGCTCTAGCCAGTGTCAGAGCTTGGTGTCATCTACATGGTGCTGGTTTTACAGGCATACAGTGCAAGAGTCATGGGGTTATGGATACTTCCACTCAGACTTCAAAAGGCCTGGGAGGCCAGGAAGTGTGTCCCTGAGAGAGGAGTACATGAAGCTGTGAGAGAAAAGCTTAAAGTGCATTGGAGACCCCAGGAAGTAAAAGAAGGCAGGAATGTGGAACATCTGAGGAAAGCCACAAGGAGTAAGCAAAGTCAGCCCAAGATAGAGGCTGTGAGGGCTACAATCACAAGCAATGTTGTAGGTATGATTCCATCCAAGCCCTTTGGCATTAAAAGCTTGCCTCTGGTACTGGACATGGAGCTACGGGATTTAATGTTTTGCCCTGCTGGATTTCAGGTCTCATTGTTTTCTGTCCTCCTATTTCTCCCTTTTGGAATAGAACTGCTTACCCTGTGCCATTGTATGTTGATAGTGATTAACTTTTTTATTTTTTAATTTTTAATGTTTTATTTTTTTCAGTATGGGGAATCAAACTCAGAACTTTGTGCTTGGCAGGTAGGCATGGTGCCACTGAGATAAATCCCCAGCCCAACTTTATGATTTTTATAGGGGCTCACAGATAAGAGTTTTCCTTAAGTCAAAATTAAGAGTTTGCCTTAAGAGGAGACTTGAACTTTTCAGCAATTGCTGGAACTGTTAGGGCTTTGGAACTTTTAGAGATAGTCTAAATTTATTTTTGCATAAAGAAATTCATGAGCCTTTTGGGGACTAAGGGTAGAATGTTCACTTTATTTAATTGTTTATTTTGGTTTTTTTGAGATAGAGTCTCACTGTGTATAGTAGTTCAGGCTGGCCTGGATTCACCGTGTAGCCCAGGCTGACCTTGAATTTGTGGTGTTCCTGCTGCCTCAGTCTCCAGAGTGCTGGGATTACAGGTGTGCACCACAATGTCCATTTTATGGAATGTTATGGGTTATCTAGATGTCCCCCCAGAACTTACCACACACATAAGCGGGGCTTTTGAAGAGTGACTGGATTGTGAGAGCATTGCAGCTGACATGCTGTTAGGAGGTTGGTTCTGTTGGAAGTAGGTCACGGGGCATGACCTGGAAGAACACATCTCCCTTCCCCACTCCCCCTTGATCTCTCTGCTTCCCTGCTGCCATGCCATAACCAGCTAGCTCCCTTCCACCATGCCTTTCTGCAAAGTTGTCCTGCCTTGAACTGAAGCCTCTACAAATTGTGATCCAAAATAAACCTTTTCTCCTTTAAATTGCAGGTGTTGGGTATTTTGTCCCTGCAACAAGGAAAGTGACTAGGATGCTTCTTACTGGGAGTGTGTGCTCAGCTTCCTGATCAGACTGCTGACACTTCCTGCTGAAGCTTTGGAGCACTGCTTGCTGCTTCTTCCAGGCAGGAGATAAAAAGCCAGCTCCCCATGCAGGCCTGCCCAAGCCATCCACAGGGGCACTGGAGAGCTGCCTGTCACTTCCTCGGGATGGAGGTGGGTGAAAGGTCAACTCTGTGGTTGGGGCTGCTAAAACTGCTGCAGGGTGGAGAGTGCAGTTGTTACATGGGGTGGGGGTGGGGGTGGGAGGATTGGCTCTCCTAGGATTGCCAGGAAGATTTGCGGTTCTTAGGGTGTTCTTCCATTCTTTGGTAAGGGAAAGCAGGCTTTTCTTGGACCTTTGTTTTGTTTGTGCCTGTTCATAGCACTGGGATGGAGATTTCTGCAGTGCCCTGTTTGGACTTAGGAGGAAATAAGGAAACCTGAGGGAATTTACCACCATGCCTTTTCCCAGGTCCTGAGATCCTCCCTAGCTTTTAAAGTCTTCCAATATTTGTGTTTTATATTATATTCTGGATTTTTTAGGGAAGATCTGGGTCCACACTAGTGGAACCAGAAATCTCCTCAAATGGCCATTTAAAAACACTTACTTGCTGGGCTTGGGTGCCTTTACACCTCAACACTCAAGAGGCTAAGGCAAGATTATTGTCACGAGTTCAACACCAGCCTAGGCTGGTGAGTTCAAGGCCAGCCTGAATGACGCAGCCAGACCCTGTCTCAGACAAACAAACAATCCTGCAGATTTAGCTCAGTGGTTCTGCAGCCTGCAAGCGCAAGGACACAGTTCAATCCCCAGCACCAAAACAAACAAATAAACAAATAATAAAACAAAAACACTTCCTTTAGTACCAGGAGTCTTCCTCAGATTGTTAAAAGCCATGAATCCTTCAATTTGCACCCTAAACCCTAGTGTGCATAAACATATGCTGTAGTAAGATACATAAATAGCCTTGAATCATGCACAGAAAATAGCATTTTGCGCTTCCACAGGGCTGCACGGTTCCCAGAGCACTGAAATAAACTCACACACACACACACACACACACACACACACACTCAATAATGTTGCAAGGTGGGCAGAGTAGATTTTATTTCTTGATTTTTGGTTCATTTAAATAAAGGTTCGGTTTGGTTAGGATTCTTGCCTAAAGTTGAAGAACTGTTGTTACAATTTTTGTGAGTTTTAACCCTGTGTTTATATTACAAACCCACACTATTTAGGATAAATTATCCTTCATTCTATTGGAATTCACATGCTTAAAAAGTAAGCAATGAACATAATTTTGTCTTCATGAGGTACAATTATGGGTTTTGGAGTCAGAAAGATCTGAACTCAAATGCTAGCTCCACTATTTTATTGGCTGTGTAATCTTTCTTTTTTCCTTTTCTTCTCTTTTTAAAAAAGGTATCGAGGTTTTACATTTACTAAAGGTAGGAAAAGAAACGTGCTGTAGAATGAGTGTGAGCTTATTAAAATTAGAAAAAGAAATCCACGCTGCCGGTGATATCACAGTTGCTTTTCTTTTTTTTTTTTTTTTTTGAGACAGGGTCTCATTATGTAGTCCAGTTTGTCCTCCAACTTGCAATCCTCCTGCTTCAGCCTCCCAAATGCTGAGATGACAGGCTGAACCACCAGGCCCAGCAAGTTGTGTAAAGTTGAATAAATTACTCAGCTCCTCTGTGCCTCAGTTTCTTTTCTTTTTTTTTTTTGCTTTCTTTGAGAAAGGATTTCACTTTGTAGTTCAGACTCATTTTGAACTCATTATGTTGCCCAGGTTGGCCTTAAACTTGTGGTGATCCTCCCACCCGGGCCTCTGGGGTACTGGGATTACAGGGGTGTGTCACCATCCCCAGCTTTGTGCCTCAGTTTCTTCCTGTGTCTAATGAGGATAATGGTAAAACTACTTTGAAAAGTTGCTTTGAGGGTAGAGATAGTTACATATTTAAAGCAGAGTGCTTAGCATATTGGAGAGACTCAGTAAACAAATGGTAATTATTAGAGATGGGAAAGCCAAAAACAACAACTTCACTGTTTCCATAATGAGGAAAGCATGATTCAGACTCAGAGCTCTCAAAAACAGTATGCATCTGTCCATTCCTGTTTGGTGTAGCTTCTGACACCTTCCTTAATAAGCATTGCCATCTCTGTAATTTTAGAACCAGAATTTAAAGATCTCCTAGTGCAAGCTTCTCATTTTTTATATAAAGCAACTGAGGCCGGGAGGGATCGAATTAATTACACATCAAGGTCACAGTGCTAGTATGGTTCATGCTTCACCTTGTAAAGCACACAAAAGTGTAAGCAGGAAACAAAGTATAGAAAGACATCTGGGTTTCAGAAAGAAGATTAAGATCAATGAAACCTGGAGGAGCAAGTTACATACACACACACAGACACACACACACACCCCGATAGGCTGGTGCCAGGCACCAGGGTGATGCCCACCTACCATCCTAGTGGAAGTCTGCAATGGGTAACTCCACCTGCTCTGGCCTCCAGAAGAGGAAAGCAACTTCTACAAACAGTTGGGGAGTGAAAAGGAGCGGGCAGTGGACATAAAAGGGACATATTTTCAACACTGCCCACCCAGTTTCAGAGAGTGGGTCACAAGGGCAAGAGAGCATCTCCAGCCAGCCAGCATCCAGCTTAGGTGTCAGTGTGCCCCAAACCTTACAGGAGACACAAAGCAGCAGAAAGCGCTGAGATCAATATTTTTTGCCAGTACAGTTGTGCTTTCGTTCATTTCTAAAACTAGTTTTAGTAGTAATTTCCAGATGTGTCTGATAGTTTTTTTGCTTGAATATGATAAAACTGATATTTTTAAATACTGAGACTATTTTTTCATAATTCTGTGTTTATGTCTAACACATTTTGTCAGTGTATCCTCACTTTTCTATTTACTGTGAACTAGAATAAAGTCAGGAAATGAGTGAGGTCTGCTCCACAAGGTCTTTGCAGACCTTGCTGATTCATTTCCACAATCATAATTGTAAATGTTGTCTTTCGTACCCCTTTCTGAAAGTGTATTTTGTATAAAAGTACACTTGAAAATTTAAAATTTTCTTTAGTTTCTTAAATCCGAGAGAGAAAATTTTGGCTTCAGGCTTCTAACAATAAATCAAAGTGAAAACAAAAATAGTTTACAAAATAGTAAATATAATGAAAGGTATCTTTTGTAAAAATGTACATTTTTTTAAACAATGGAAATTCCATGTTTAAGTTGATTTTTTTTTCTGGGCCTTTGGATTTCACAGCATCCTTATTTCTTGTTATTTGTATTTTCTAATTTTCCTTCCATGACTATGTATTTGGTCAGAAAATAAAGTGTTTTTGTTTTTCTTTTTTTTTGCAGTGCTGGGACCAAACCTAGGGCTTTGGCCATTCACCACATGCTTACTACTGAGCTGCACTCCAGGCTGGCCCTTCCTTTTGTTTAAAAAAAATTCATTTATTTACTTTTGCTGTTGTTGATTTTCTTTTGAGACAGGGTCTTGTTGCGTAGTTCAGGCTGGCCTTGAATTCAATTTGATTCTCCTGCCTCAGCCTCCTGATGTGTGCCACCACACCCAGGCTTTTTTTTATAAAATTAAAATTTACTTACATGTTACTCCCAGACAATCAGGGAGATACAAAGCAAAGTCTAAAAAACTGGAAATTAAAGATTCTCCAGATTGAAGAATGTGGGAATAAGAATAAGACACTGGAGTGTGTGTGTGTGTGAGCTTTTGTTGTTGTTGTATAGTGAAAATGTAACCATAGAAAAATAATTTGCCAGTTGATCTGCAAATGGAATCCCTCAACCCCCTTTTTTTTTGGTTTGTTGTCCCTATGTAGTTCAGGCTGGCCTCAAACTAAGGACAGTCCTCCTGCTTCAGCCTCCCAAGTCCCATCACACCTGTCTCTCCTCCTCATTTCTAAAAATCCTTTTCTGAGAATTCAACATTCAAACTGACAGCAATTAAGCCCCAGGCAGGGTTAATTCAAAGCAAAGAGGAAGAGACCAAAAGTCTTTGCCCTTACAAGTACTTTTTTTTTCTTTTTGTACCAGAGATCGAGCTCAGGACCTTGGGTTTGCCAGGCAGGTGTGGTGCCACTGAGCTAAATCCCTGGCCCACACGTTCTATTTTTTATCTCTCATCTTAGCTAAATTTGACCTCTAGTCTCCTCTAATTTATTTATTCTCTTTCCTTTAACAAATATTTAGAGTACTTTTTCTCTGGTGATGTCATGGAGAGAAAAAAATAAATTAGCCCTCACCTGGGAGCTAATGATGTAGCAGAATGAACAAGCTCCTCCCTGGATGTGTTCACTAGAAATAAGGCAGGATGGTAACTGTGCAGTGGACATGGTCAGGATCAGCACTGTCCCACAGGGCTTTCTACAGGATGGAAATACCCATTTTGTGCTGATTGACAGTAACCATCAGCCACGTGTGGCTAGCAAATATATGAATTATGGTTAGTACAACTAAGGAACTTAAAAATTAACTTCAATTTTAATTCAACTAATTTTAATTTTTAATTTACAGGTGGCTTGAATGGTACAGGCCTAAGTTCCAGAAGGTGTCAGTAGTTAAATATGTGAATTGATATTTGAAGGAAGGGAGGATTTGAAAAGCTGAGAATAAAGAAATGTGTCCTAGGGGAGGAAAAAAGTACTCATGAGCTCAGTGCTCAACCCCATTGAGAGCGAGGCAGTGGGGGTCTGGACGGGAGACTGTGATGAGCTGCAACCCTGGGCAGACCACACAGCTGGAAGCTAGGATTTGAAGGTGTAGGTAATTGAGTCATTTTTTTTTCAGTATTAGGGATTAAACCTAAGGCTTTCATGCTGAGCTTTACTCTCAGCCCTTTTTGTATCTTTTTGACATACAGTCTCAATAAATTGCCCAGGCTGGGCTTGAACTTTCCATCCTCCTGCCTCAGCCTCCCAGAGTGCTGGGATCACAGGTGTGCATCACCACACTCACCTAAGAGTCACTGATTATTTTCTGATTAGTGGGTAATAAGAGCTCTTATCTTAAACCAGGCATTATGTTGAATGCCTTACATGGATGATTTATTTCATTATAACAGCTTTTTGAGGGAAAAAGACCTCAAAAAAAAAGTGACTGAATTTATCAGGAAGATCCTTTGAGCTGAGTGTGGGGGCATGCACCTGTAAACCCAGAAACTGTATTTGGGAGGCTGAGGCAGAAGGATTCAGATTCCAGGCCAGCCTAGACAACTCAGTGAGAACCCTTCTCAAAATAAAATTGAAGTGCTCACTTTGGCAGCACATATACTAAAATTGGAATGATACAGAGATGATTAGCATGGGCCCTGTGCAAGGATGACATGCAAATTTATGAAGCATTCCATATTTTAAAAAATAAAAATTAAAAAATAAAATTGAAAAAGGGCTGGGGGTGTAATTTAGTGCACCCTGGATTCAACCCTGGGTCACACAAGCATGATCCTCGGAGGAAAGGGAGGAACAAGTATAGATTCATTCGTCCAGTTTGGCACTGGAAAGATTGAAGAGGGAAACACCTCGAGAAAGTGAAATGGAGCCCCTCTCCCTAACAGTCCTGGGTAAGTCATAGGAAAGATCAGGACCAGGGTGGTCTTGGGAAGACAGAAAGGACTCATTTCTTTGGGCATATGAGAACTGACACAGAATACATGGTAGGTAGAAAGACTTTGAGAAGAGCATTAAGGTTGCTTTAGTTGGATATATTTTTTTAATCCTAGTGAAGTAGGAATCAGGGTCTTCTGCCAAGAAATGGAAGAAAGCAAGATAGGGTGAGGGCGGAGGAGAAAGAGTATCTATAATAGCATCACTTGGGACTGCTGTAATAATAATCATCTGCACCAGTGGCTATCATGTGTCTATTACAGGCAGTCACATATATTACCTCATTTAGTCTAACAATCCAGTGAAATATTACTCATTCCAATTATTTTCAAATTATAAAACAGAAAACCGAGGCCCAAAAAGGTTATCACCTTAGAGCTGGGCATAAAGCTCAGTGGCAGAGCGCTTGCCTAGCATGCAAAGCCCTAAGTTTGATTCCCAGCAAGGCAAAAGGAAAAAAAATTGTCTAACAAGTATCATTTCAGGTTTTAACAAGTAGGGTGAAAAAAATAAAACTGGTGCTCTAACAGCTATTGTATGGGGGAGGGGGTGCGGAAGGAAGAAGTTACACTCTAGTTAGTGGTCGGGAGTGGGAGATCCCTCTGCTGAGAGGACAAGTGGGCTGAGAACTTCAGGATGAGAAAGGTGGAGTTTTCCAGGCCCTGGAAAGGCAAATGCAGAGGCTCCGGAGCAAACTAGCTGGGTTTCTGGAGGATGTAAAGGCAGAGCGACAGCAGCTTGGTGAGTAAGGGGCTATGGCCATGGTGGGAGGTGAGACGGCAACCCGGGGGAAAGATCTGAGCCAATCCGAGTCAAAGGAATCGGGCTCCTGCGGTAAGGACCAGGCTGTCCAGCTCGCCGACGCGGGTGCTGTCACTGCCCGAAGCTACCTGGTACCTGGCGCGGGAATGAGGCAAGCGACCCCAACAGCGTCCAGGCCCAGGGACCAAAGTCGAGCCGGCGAGGGGATGGCTGGGTGTGACCCTGTGGGTGTCGCGAGCGTTAAGGTGGTAGACACCGCCGGCCGGCCGAGGCCACCTGCGAGGTGCCCAGCATCACCCCGCTTCCGGCGGGCGAGAAAACCCCGCCCGCAGCACTACCGCCCACGGCGGACTGGCTTGGTTTTCACCGGGGGAGGAGGCCGTCTACCAAAATTTCGGAAGGTGGGACACCTTCCCCTTGAGAGCGATGAGGAGATGAAATAAAGCATGGCTAGGATGAAGTCACAAGGAAAATTGCCCTTTTGATTTTTGTCTCGTTTTCCCCTCCTAGCACTCCAGAAACGACTGGCTTCTACGTGCAGTCTCCAAGTCACCCCCTCCAACAGGGAACTCATTGGTTTCGTCCCTCAACCCTCATTCGCTGAGGGTTTATGCCTTGGCCGGGGATTGGAGGACCACAGTTTTTACCGAATCCCTGCGCACGCATTGGCTCGTCCTCCCGGTTTCTGGGCGGAGTGGTCGGGGACGGTTTCCACCCTCTTGTTTACGGAGCGCGTAGTTGTAGTTCTGGGGCTGTCTCCAAAGTTCCCTATTTAGCTACTCGGACCAATTGGGGCCTGGCTCCACCCTCTCTCCCTCCTTCGCACGCTTTCCTTGTGGTACGGCCCACACCTTTAGAGCGGCGGCGCGTGCGGACGCCCGGCGCGTCCCCTCCCCCTGGCGCGCTTGGTACGGTCCACGCCGCCTCTTTCCTCGCTAGGTTGGCGGCGCCCCTCCCGGTCGGTGGCGCTTGGTGCCGCCCGGGAGAACCAGGTCATCGGTCGGTTCCCGTGAAAACAAAAACAATCGGCGGCGCCTCAGCGGGCAGCCGAAGACGGAGAGCTGGGGCCGGAGAAGCGGCGCCGGGTGGGGGCCAGACCAGTGAGCGAGTGAGCAAGCGAGAGCGACGCGCCTGGGCCGGGGCGCCATGGGGCGGGCGGGCTCGGGCTGCGCGGGGCTCCCCCGGCTCCGCTGCTAGCGCGCCCGCCGCCTGAGCCTCCCGCGCCGCCCGCCTGGGGGACGAGGAGCAGGACGCGGCCTCGGGGGGGCCCGGGCCGAACGGCTGCGGACCCCCGGGCGCCGGGAAGCCGGGCGCCGCGGCCTCCGGCATGGATCAGTGCGTGACGGTGGAGCGCGAGCTGGAGAAGGTGTTGCACAAGTTCTCGGGCTACGGGCAGCTGTGCGAGCGCGGCCTGGAGGAGCTCATCGACTACACCGGCGGCCTCAAGCACGAGATCCTGCAGAGCCACGGTAGGGCCCCGGGCCCGGCCCCTTCTCTCCGCCGGCCCCCCACGCCTCGGAGACTTTGCCCCCCTCTTTTCGCCGGATTTACCTGGAGCCTGTGGCGCCCTTGCTGTTAATTCAGAATGAGCGCGAATCCACCCGGAAACGCGGCCCAGAGCCGGGTTCAACGTGGGTGGGGGGTCGGTGGGGACGTCCACGCCACCTGCAAACAGCCGCCCTCCCGGAATGGGCGCCCCTCGCCTCTTCCCCGTGAGGAGGGGCTCACGGGCCGTAGCTGCCCGGATGACATTGGACCCCGGGGTCCGAGTGGTAAGACAGTCAGTGCAGGAAGCCCTTTGGCCTCCCTTGCCCCAAATCCTTGGCCCGGAGGACTTTCTTTCCAGGTCTTTTTGTTTGTTTGAAAGTAGAGTGTTATTCTTAGCTGTCGGTTAGCAGAACAGCGGTTCCCACAACTTCACAATTTGACTGCTGTGTGCGAGAAGCTCTTCTGAACTCCTCAGCAGCACTGACCGATTCCTAGGAAACCAGGCGAACCGAATCCTTCTGCTCCCTTGATGTAGCCTCTGATGAGACCGAGGAAGCGCAGTTGTGGGACAAGCTGTTAGTTACTTGCCTTACCTGGTCCAGTTTTTTTCAGAAGAGCGATTTATCTGTGGAAAGTGTTTTGTCATAAATTATTTGATCCTAGGTCCCTAGAGCACATGCAGTACTTCGTCAGAGTTAACTTGTGGAAGCCGGCTGGGGAGGGGTTTTGTTTTTGGTTTTTAAAACAGCATGAAAGGCCTATTTGCTTCACATTAAAATAGTAATGTAATGATTCCTTTTGAGCAGGAAGTCAAGGCGTCTTTATTAATGGGTTCATGCGATTGAGGTCTTCCCAGCCTGGGGACTTTGTAAAGGAAGGCTTGATGGGGTGGGGTGTGCCTGTATTTGTGGCGGATGAGATAGAAAGCCCAGACCCTGTTTTCTTCACACTTGCAGGCCTTCTTTACCCAGGTGAATTTCAGTTCAGAGCTAGTGTTAGTCCTTGGTGATCTTTGTTTTTTTGGTACCGGGGATTGAACTCGGGACCTTGCGCCGCTGAGCTGAATCCCCGGCGCTAGGAGTCTTAGAACT